TATTGATCTTTTGCCTTCAAGCAGGTATTTCACAAGTTTAGGACATTGTTTTGATTGTAGAAAGAACTTTTTCAATAAATCCATGTTTCACATATTCAGTCGCCACGCGAAGTTTCGAAGATTGGGAGAGGTGTATGACGAATTATGGTATATAAATGAGGACTTTCAAGAAAATGTTGCGAAAAAATGCGTAAAAAGTAGTGGAAATGTGCACTTGTTGTTCGGGAAGAACTAGAAGCTTCTGTTTATGGAAGGAGACTCGCTTAGACGCTCGCTTACATGGAACCTGCAGATATCTTTTAGGGAATAAACAGCAAAAATTTAATCAAAAAAAGGTCATAAAAACAACTTCAAATGCGCACAATCTGCGTGTAAACAGTCTTTACACTAGGGGTGGACCATTTTATTTAATGGGACTTTATTACAGGCATTAATTAATAACTTCACTTAACCATTAATATTAGGAGTTAATGTTTTCCTTTAAAAACTTCATTCATTAAACATTAATTTATTAATATTAAGTCATTAATATTAATGAAAACATTAACATTAACATTAATGATTAATGAAAAAAGATTAACATTAATATTAATGTTAACGTTTTCATTAATCATTAACATTAATGAATTAAGTTTTTAAAGGAAAACATTAGCCATTAATATTAATGATTAATGAAAAACATTAGCATTAATTTAAGATTAATGTTAATGGTCCACCCCTAGTCAAAGGTCAACTGCAAAGGGGAACTACTCAGACATTCCAATCCATTCCAATCCATTCCAATCCATTCCAATCCATTCCAATCCATTCCAATCCATTCCAATCCATTCCAATCCATTCCAATCCATTCCTAGCCATTCCGATCCATTCCAATCCATTCCGATCCATTCCAATCCATTCCAATCTATTCCGATCCATTCCAATCCATTCCAATCCATTCCGAGCCATTCGAATGGCTCGGAATGAGCTTTTTCCCCCTAGGGTCCCCCTCAGGTCTGTTTTTCCAAAATTTTGCCCCTGGTCCCCCACGGGTCGATTTTTGGTCGGAAAAAAAATTTCTTAAAACATATATGATTCTACGT